CCCCGCGCGCGGTTCCTGCCCTCGCGCGCGGGACGCGGCAGAGGACGCGGGGGCGGTGCGGGAAGATGGCGGCGGCCGCGGCGCGGAGCAGGTACGGGCACGGCGGGGCTGTCATTGTCACTGTCCGGTCCCGGCAGCCTTGTCTGACAGCCGGAACCCCATGGGGGAGGAGGAGCCGGGCCGGGGGCCGCAGCCTTCCCCTTCTCTCCCCCCTCGTTCGCTGACGTTTCTTTACCGGGGTGAGTGCGGTTGAGTCTGCAGCCTTGGCCCTGCCCTTGGCATGTGTGAGGAGCCTTGCCCTCCTTCTCCAAGCTGGACAGGAAGATAAGGGGTTTACGTATTTTAAGAACGAGAAGCTTGTGGCCTTGTATAGTTCTGACTCGGTTTTGCAGTCTGGAGCTGTCGGTGTGTAAGTACTGAGTAGAAATGGGTAGATGAGGGGCAGCTACAGCCCCTGGGGTTATGCAGTCCCGGGGGGATGGCCCTGAGGAGAAGCACCTGGCCAGGCACTGATACTCCTCTACAGGAGATATCCTCTTACAGGTTGTGCTTTTCATAGCAACCAAACAGCTTAAGGAATGCTGTTTCTCGGCCACAGTTCTCTGTTCTTGGATAGAACACACCGTCCCCGTATTCCTCTTTCTCTCTCAAAACCTGGAGAAAACACCTAGTTCACAGAGTGTTCTCTTACCCCCGGCCTCAGTGCTGGCAGCAGAGTGTTGTCCCTTGTCCAGAGAAGGCTGAAGACACAGAGGGGCTGAAGTTAACATGGAATTCATTGGCAGTTCCTTCTCCATCAGCCTCCAGTGGGGTGGGAGAGGCAGGGGGTCAATACTCCTAGAACCATTTGTACCCATCAAGGTCAGGCTGTCAGGAGCAGACAAGTCGAAACTATTTAGTTTTGTTGTCTTTGCCTGTTTTTAGGCAGATTTCAGAGTAAGGTGGAGACTGATTTTCCAGTATTGGGCACCAAAAACAATTTTGGTAAGAGCTTAGGGTTAGGTGTTGTGTCCTTCCAGTGTCTGAGGAAGTGCCACGTCCCAGGTGCCCTGCCCTGCCTCAGCAGTGTGAACAGCTCCCAGATGCTCCTTTGAAGCCAACACAACTTGTTCAGTTCTGACTGTGCATTTTTGTTTAGACTATTATGTAGGAAGGCTAATAAATATCTGAAATATTAATGCTTTAGGCTGCAGTTAAGTTTTAATATTTTTTTTCCATTGCTTTTTTAGGATTTGAAAACTCTTCTGGTAAATTTAAGTCTAATGCTAATTCAATTAGTTTTTTATTTTTTGAATCCTTAGAAGTAGTCCACAGGCTTCCAGCTTACTGATGAGCAAGTGCTCCTTTTATCCCAAGTGTTTTAATATGTTGTAAAACAGGCCTCGTAAGTCCAAAAATTAATGTAGGTCTGGCATATGACCCAAGAGCATCAGGTGACCTCGTTGTTCATGACAAATTACAACATGTTGCTCTGTAGAGCATACAGGTTCTGCAGCAGTGGGTTTTTTCTGTCTTGCCAAGGAAATGACATCTTGGGAGATGACGCAGCAGTGGGGCATGTTTAGCACGTGGTTAGAGGGATCTGGGGCTTGGGGAGGGTCTGTCCTGTCACATTTGGGTTAATACAGGGGTTGTAATAGAGACCATGAAGCTGAAGGGCAGAGTGAGATATTCTGACACTGTGGGGATAGGAGCAAACTTTAGCTGTTGGTCCTTGGCTAATGTTAAAGCATAATTACCAAGTGTGTGCTGGCATAATGATGTGACTTCTAGACAAGAAATCTGCTATTTGTAGATTCTTCTTTGAAATAAAGGGATGGTGTCTTTATGTAACTCAGTAGACACCTGAAATTAAGTCTTTAAATTCTTAATAATCACTTCCTGAGATTGAACAGGCCCCAAATGATGCAATAGCTTGTAAGCTACTGAAGTAATTGTGTCCTGCATGTATCTGATCGAGAGCAGATGAAAGGCCAGAGGGCAGATGAAGACATCCCAGCTGTGGCATTGCCTCCTGGGAGTGGGCAGGTTGCACAGAGATCTGGTTCTTCCTAAGGGCCTGAGCCTGCTGGGGTGAGGACACTATCTCTCTCCTCCCTGTGATCCTGTCTGACAGCAGGATGTTGCCAGGTCACAGTCAAATACTTGTTTAAACATGCTTATTTGAACAGTTCTTGTACAACTGGATGTCTTCTTGTCAGATTTATTACTAACATGAAATTAAATATTGTATATTAAACATGCAGAAAGTGGGGGTTGAACCTTTTCTCTGTATTGGACGGTTCCAAGTCTCTTTCATGTATTTCCAGAGGGGCAGAACCACTCTCACTGTGGTTCACCAGTGAACAGAGTGGCAAGGTCAATTCTAAAGAAGAGCTGCTGTGCCTGGCAGCCTTTTTTACTTTTCCAGTTACACTACTTAATCTAATAAATGCCATTAATTCTTCATAGAATCCAAAACTTCTCTATGTACTCCTCCTCCTTCCCACCAGTATGGTAAGATAAAAGCTACATGAACCAAATCCTCGGTGTCTCTCTAAGAGAGACAGTTGCTGTTGTAGGAAGTTCTTAAATGACACAGTTGTGGCAGCCCAGTGGAGATGGATTTATCTTTATAAATTTTATTTATATTGGATTATCCCAAGTACTAAACAATAATTATAACATTTACCACTCCATTTGCATTTTAGAGCTCCAAACAGGCCAAGATACAGTACACATTCACAGCATAAATAGTTGCCTGGAAAGGGCCATTGGCAAGATCAGCATCTACAATACTCTGAAAAGTATCACTGCTACAACAGCCCAAAAGGAACATGTCAATATTTGTTAAGAAAAAGAAAAGCTAAAGATGCATCATTAAATAAATACCTCCAAGAGTAGTTGGATTGTCAGTTTTTTCAAATTTTTTTTAGGAAAGGAGTAGACCACAAAGGACTAGGCTCATTGGAAATTTTATGATATTTTGAGTAGACTTTTCCCTCTGTTTCTCAGCTGCTAAATCTTAGATTGTCACTACACTGAACCAACATTTGCATTATTGAACATTTGTACTTAAGCAGCCACTTCTTGTTTGATGTATTTGCAGTTTGCTGTGCAGCTGTAACTTGCTGGTGCACAAGAACCTGTGTGTTAGAGCTGGACTCCTGTGGAAGCAGCCTCCCTCAAGGACATTTTTCAGTGGTAAGTGATGGGTTATCTAGAAGTGGTTTTAAATTCAGGGTCACTCAAAGTTAGGCAAATTGTGGTCTCATATTGGGGAAGAAGAATTTCCTGAAAAGAAAGGAGTGGAAGTCCAGCATCAAAGACCAGTTCGTGTCATTTACTTAGACACAAGCTTGCAAATTATGTTTTCCCCATTGTAAAAGAAGTATATTTACCTTTTTAATAAAATTCATTATGAGCTGTTGTTGTTTGTTGCTTTCAAACTTTACAAAGCATCTGAAACTTTTTCTGCTGAAGATAATTCCTGTATAGCAAATTAAAATCCATGAGCCATAGGTTTATTTTTCTTAATTTCTGCACTTCAGTTAGTTTTCTCAGGAGTCTAGAGTTAAAAAAAAAATGTTTTTTTTTTTAAACACAGTATAATTTACCAGAAAAATTCATGTTAGGCCAGTGTTTTTACATTTAAAAAAAAAACACTTAAATGAACTTGATGAGCAATAATTTGTGTACTTTCCACACCTACTGAAGTGATAGACTAAGAAGGGCAACATCAAACATACATACTTAGAATATTCAACTGTATTACCTGCTTTGTTGTGCTGCTCTTATCAGTTGTTCACCTTGAAAAGTCTGAGGGATCCAGATTTCAGCAGTTTAACAGCCTTATAAGAAAGAAAAGGTATAAATATATTTCTATATTTTAATCTGTACTTAAAATTTTAATAGATCAGAAAATCAGAGTAGCTTTGCATGAAATATTTAGGACTTGGTTAAAATAGTACTTGCACTTGATGTTTCTGTACTAGGTAATGATGTGAAAATCAAATATTATTGTTTGTTTTTAAGGAATATTTGTAAACTTTTAGCATGTGCATTGTCATATATTAGTATCACAAATTCAATTTTTGTTTTCTTGCCAGCTGAGCTATTGGTCCCATTTTCTAAAACCATTTATTTGGGCTAATTTGCCTATCCAAATGCTTTGTCTGGTATATCATGTATGGATATTTCATTATTGAAAAATATGCTTACATAGATGAATAGAAAGAGCAGCTTGATGTTGTCTATAAATCAAAGTCATTACAGAAAAAAATCTTAGAAGCTAAGACATAATGCAAAGTTGTTGATCACAAGGAAGTAAAGATCATTTTAGTCAAAATTAACTGAGTTTTGAACAAATCAACTTATTAGCCTAACATTTTCTAATTTATGATATTTTAGATTCTGAACTGGATTTAAATCTAGATGATTTGCACATGATGTCATTAGAAAGGAAAGATAACTCTTCTCTGATTTGATCTCTACCCCTTACAATGGCCTCCTCTAAGTGTTTGTGTCATGTCCTAGAAGAAATTCTGCATTGGGTCAGAATAATAAAGCAGCATGTATGTTACTGCATCTAACTGCATAAATTAGAGCACTCCCACCATTATTCAGTTTCCTTTCTCATCCTGAATTTTCCAGCATTTCTGAGGGAATGTGTATTTTTCACCTGTTTCAGAGAAGGAAACTGTTACTAATTTTTTATTCTCATTTGCTGAATATACTCAGTGTTTAAGAGAATTCTAGAAGGAGGTTGGCTTTATCTGTGAGGGCTTCAGATTTAGG